AAAAAAAAAAAAAAAAAAAAAAAAAACGTCGCTAACATGGGTCTAAAATAAAGTATTGATTAATTTCATTATTCCTTCTCAATTATTGTATCGATCGTTGCCTTTAAGAAGGCGTAAAGATCTTATTTTCTCAAATATTTTTTAATGAATATTCTATTAATAAAACATGAAGAAAATTATTCTTGAATTCTCCTTAGAGTTTAAACAAACGTGTTTTAAACCTGAATGCCTATTTATACTTGCTTCTAATTTAAACTGAACTTTTAGTGTCCATTTATAAAGCATTTAAAGCTATTGAGAAACTTGAAAAGTAGAAAAAATGAAGCAACTATATTATCATACCTTTTCATTCACTCTTCTTTTTCTCTCTCTCACTCTCTCTCTCTCTCTTTGTGTGAATTCCAATAATTCTATTTATGTACGATGTGTTTTTTTTTTTTTTTTTTTATGGCCGTCTATAAATATTTCGATTGATTAGGAAACTTTTATGAATGAAACCACTATAACAGCGCAATATCTTTTCATTCCCTTCCTTTTTTAAATATGTACGTATCCCATTAATTCTGTTTATGAATGAAAAAGATTTTAAAAAAAATCTAAATACTCTGATGGCCTTCAGATGGGAGATTTTATGGCTTTAATTGTTAATAGAGGTCATTTTGGCGTAAAAAAGGGAAACCTTAGAAATTTGTATTCTGAATCTGTCCTGTATTACAAAAAAAAAAAATAAAATAATAAAAATAAATAAATAAATCATGTGTACAAATTATCAAACAAACAATCACAAACACGAATACATACATACATATATAAGTGCACATGTACATTCATATACATATATATACATACGCATGTACACACACACACAATGTCTACTATATAGTCAATTTATCTATTTGCTAAACCAGGTAATGAGAACTCACCAAGGTATTTAATTTACACATACACATTACTGTATAGGAAACGCCAGCGCTCGTCTCTCGGCAAACGCCAAACGGACCAGTGTTAATAATGTAATAATTAACGAAGTGTGTAATATTAACAAGCCGAGTAAACCATAACGG